CATATTTTTCTGAACTTCATTCCAGCCAAAATTATCCACTGGGCCCTATCCGTCCGACATTCGCCTTCGCTTTGCTTCTACACAACCTGATGAAAACCGGTTTTTAGAGTCATCCACCAAGACTGAGGCTAAAACTGGTCTAGGATATTCAGCTTTGGAGGATACAACACGACCACCCTTGTTTTCACCAAATTCCACTGCCTTTTCAGTAATTCAGGACAATTCAGGGTTGGATTTACTCATGGGCGGTGGCTCTGAATTCGGGGAATGCAATTCATCCTTAGTTGAAGATGGAAATAAACAGAGTAACGATGCGTCTGTCTGGTCTGGGGAACCTAAGTCTCTGGATTCTAAAGGCCCTTCAACTCACATAGAAGTGGGTGTGCCTGCCTTGGATGAAGCATCTCCTCTGCCCCGCCGTTATTCCAGCTTCCAATGCTATCCGTTCACTGCTTTCAGATTCACTTGGCTACCTCCGAGATATTCTACCAACATAAGAACCAGCCGAGGGGATCCGGCCCGACTCAAGAGGCTCTTTCTGCATATATTAGGCTCGTGGGTCAGTCAGCCCAAGGATACCTACATTCCAATCAAGCTGGAGTTGCCATTACGTCACTGCAAGGTCTGCTTGCTTGAGGTATGCTTTTATGCTAAGACCTGTGTGGGCTTTGTTCTCCTGTTTCTATATCTATATATCGAAGGTTTTAAAGATTATTTCTGCCAGCATTAAGACCATTCTTCTGATATTCGCTTATCCTTAATTTTTTACTTGATCTGGTGACTCTGGTTTATCTCGGTTGTTGTCTACTCCTTAAGCTAAAGTGCATCATACAGAAGCGTATCTTACGGAACATGACTTATCAGGAAATTTTACAAATTCTATATTCATATTTATTCAAAATTCTTTAGAAATCGAATAACAGTTGTTCGATTCGAGACATACTTTATCTGAATTTATCAACATTGCCTGTTCTCACTCTTGTTTTCATCCTACAATTTATATATATTTAGAGATCTTGATAACACTCACTAATGATGGTAATCTATTTTGCTTACAGAACCTAATGGTACTACTTGGTTTAATTAAACAATGGAT